GTAAGACTCTGATATAAATATCACCTCTTAGGTGCATCTGTGCCATAAGGCACCAATGTTTTCCTCTTATGTTTATGGTGGGATTTCTCTAATCTAATTGTAGATGTCTGCGATAAGGAAGTTTGTGTCTAAGCATGTCACCTTAGGTAACATTTCTGATTAATGGAGAGGAGTGGGTAATCCTGGGGAATTATTCATCTTACCTGTTTTAGACACTTCCTTTGTGGTGAGAAGAATGACACATTCGAAGTGCCTGTTTCTCTCCTCTAGTGTCCTGTTAATGAGAGGGCTGAGGCCACCCACTGTCATCAGCTACACCCAAGATCAGTGTTTCCAGAAGATCAGTACTGTAGCAGCAGTCAACTGTCACCGAGGCCCACAGAGAAAGGGAGGACAGCTCTTGGCTGACCTTTCAGTCACCCTCATTGATACTAAACATGAAGAGGACACAAAACACTGAGGCTGACTGAACCAGTGCATTGCAGCTGGCAGTGGAGTTTGAACTCCCAAAAGCAAAAGAATAACTAATTTTAGTTTTTGGTTTTTCAGTACCTTTTCAGTCACTGATAAAACTCTCAACTTCAAAGAACATAGTGTCCCAATATTTGGGACATTGTTATATCTCCATCTCCTCTTTGGCCCTGATGGTATTGAAGTTCTCAGATGATATCTCTGGACTAGATTCACTCTAGAGGTGCAAACAAGCCCACATTTCTAGCGAGAAAGTGTTCTCCTTGTCTTGCGATTTGGCCACAGGAAGTATTTTTCATCATAGATTGTAGTGTAGAACTGCAATCTAGCCAATCCCTCTGGTGCCTTTGTTGTCAGGAAAAAATGGTCTATCAGAGCCCATTTAGTGGAAACTTCAGCCAGACACTTAGGAGTGCTGATTCTCTGTTATTTTCTCATTGTGTGGTTCCTAAGTTTCTAAAGGTCTTGACATACATTCTCTACCAGTAAGAAAAAATCCCTCCTCATGAGATTTAAGTATGTTGCTTTTATCTTTAATGGAGCCATGTTTGAGTGTCTGTCATCATGTTCACTAAATCATCTGTCAATGAAATCCACAGTTTTAGTAGCCATTACCTCAGCTCAGGGGTAAATGAAGTTCTAGCTTTTATGTCTAATCCTCCATATTATTTTCAGGTGGATAGGGTAACACGGAGGCCACATCTCAAGTTTATTCTAAAGGTGGTTTCAGATTACTTATTAATCAGTGTATCCACTTACCAATATTTTTTTCCCATGACCCAGTTCACCAGTGGAAGGATCAAAATGTTGATCCTTTGTGAGTGTACTGCCATATCTAGACAAAGGTCTTCTGCAAACCTGTGATGTTCTTTGGTCTCAAACAGCCTTTGTTGTTCAGGATCAAATCTGAGATGTAGCATCAACTTCAAACTCATTCAAAATGAGTTAACAGACTTTATCAGAGCCACATTTGATGCTGCCAGATTAGATCCACCAACCCATCCCAAGGCATATACTACTAGACCATAAGGTACTGCCACAGCATGTGCTGGTAGAGTTCCAGTAGCCGAGGGGTGTAGAGGCACCGTGCAGTCATTGATACTCACATTTAGGAAGCTCTACATCTGCTGGTAGCCCAAAGGTTTGAAGGATACCAGTTCTTCAGTCTTTGTTCCAATGAACAGCTTGCATTTGCTGGTGCAACTGCACTCCTAATGAAATACCCAAAAAGAGTTTCACAGGTGCCAGAACTCGATGAAAGAAGAGACGTTGCCTCCATCAAAGTTCTTTGATATGTTCTTTGTCTGTAGCTCCCACAACTGGTCATTCTGTTCTGGGGAAGGAAGGCTTGTTACATGGACTGAGAGCCATTGAAGAACTGGGTGATGATCTGTTTACAGATGCTTGCGGGATGACAAGCAGATGTGAGCAGGTGATGCACACACCTTGCTGGAACACATAATAACTTTAGAAACATTTAAATTTTTATGCAGAAGAGACATATCCATTTATAATGGGTCTTACCTGCATAAAGCATCCTGAAATATCATAGCTTTATAAGGTTAGTGACCCTCTCTATTATTCCTTGTGTTCCTCCACTTTGTGTGAAACACCGTGCTATATCTTTGCCAGGTATTCTCATTGTTATTATTATAAACAGCAAAGAACACATGGTTGCTAACACTATTACTATGATTTTTTTTCATAGGAATTAGACCTCATTAGAAATCAGAAGCAGGATTTGTTCTGTGTGCTGCTAAATTTTCTTTATTAAAACCAGTAATATATAGCAAGCTTACATGCCAACCCACAGAAATCCTTCAGAGTTGTTATTTTAAACCCGTATCAATGAACAGTTTATTCTGAAGCTTTTAAAATGTGTATGTATATGCATTATATACATATATACTATATATGCACATATACATACATTATATATACATACTTCATATATATATATATATATATCTGTAGTGACAAAACAAGTAGTTTAATATGTTTTATGGGTCCAGCCTGGTGTTCTGCATACATGAACTTGTGTGTGGTCAAGGAGGCTTGCATACTTTTGAACTCTAAGCTGGCCTAATAAAAGATATCATACTACAGTGCTTGCTTTGTCAATACTGTTTTGCTGGTTCAAAAGATTAATTTACAATTTTTAACATATACCCCAAGAAAAATAAGTGTTTACTTACTGCAAGACGTTGATTCCATGTTAATAATCCTGCAGGAGACTTGTAAACAAGGTGCAGATTGTTTGATGTATATTCATGTTAGAGAATACGAAAATATGAAGTTATACCATCTTGAGGATTTTGTTTTTATAAGTAGGACTGGTTAAAAAAAACCTTTAAGTAATCATACTGTGTATTTGATGGTGGAAATTAGTATGAATGTTTCTGGCACTGGAATGATGTGATGTGGTTATGCATTTCTGTTTTTACTGCCTGCTCAAAATTGGCCTTTTACAAATACAGATTACCATGCTGATGGAAGGAATTTACAGCTTTGGCCTTGTTGTCTCAGTCTGTGTTACAGCATCTTCTTTTTGTACTTTATGTTACATATCCTCCCAACTGTATTTTTCTGACAGAAAAAGGAAATGTCTGTGGACTGAGATCCTGAAAACGTGTGAGCTTTATTATTTAATTGAATGAAATGAGTATTATTTCCCATTTACCTTGATTTCCTTTGGGATGAAATCTTGCTCCTTTGAAATCAGCAGCAAACTTTCTGCTGAGTATGATAGGATGGAGAGTCCATGAGTGATCCCTTATGAGTGACATTGCATACTGGAAGCCCAGAAAAAATCACCTCCTTAATAATAATGATAGAAAGAACACTGTTAAAGAAAATGAGGATTTAGGACTGTCAAATAAAATCCAAGCTGAATACAAAAACTATATGTATGATGTGTTTAATATTGTTAGTTTTGGGGCCTCACAGCCCAGATAGAGCTGCAAGATCCGTTTGTGTTATGCAGACTGTTACACTACATCCCTTACTTACCTCATCTTGTGGGCAAGGAGCTGCTTGCTCTGACTTCAAGGAATTGCAGCTGTATTTGTGGAGTGCTCTTGTCCTTTGGCACTCCCTCCCCTGTATATTAATACAATCTGAATGCACCAACATTTTCTCTGGAAACAAACTTCAAAATTTGTCTTTAATTCTGATGCAATGCATATTTGGAATTTTTTATTTTCCTGGAGTTTAGTTCCAGAGGAAAACATACTTGACTGGTGCTCCCACCACCCAGCTGTGGTTTATAACAACAATAATTAACAGTAAGATACTGCAGCAGAAATGGGGAGCAGAGAAATGCAGTCCATCAGCTTCAGTGATGTGGTTCTGTTCACTTCTAAGGATTCCAAAGTGCTCAGCAAACAATATTATAGGCAGTATGGGCAGCTCTGGCCATGATGAAGGTCTCCTAGTGCTTCCTGTTATAATATTTTGCTTTAGTTTTTTTTTTTTCCAGGGCTTTGCCAATGTTAATGTATTTGGGCTAAAATTATTTTTATCTGATGTCGGTCTCTAGGTTTTTGAATCTTTGCATTGAAAAGTGATTGAACTATTTATAAGAAGAAGGCTAGATATTCTGCTTACATAAAAAAATAGTCTGACCTCTGTTTTTTTTGAGCAAAGACAGACATTTCTCTGCCTTTGGATCAGGTATGTGCCTTTTGCCATCCTCACAAAGCCTTTCAAGTTTGGTCAACTGTTTCAAGACATGGAAAAAACCACAGTTACCAAATATTCCATAGGGATTTACTAAAGCCTAACAGCAAATATTTCCAGAGATTTCATCTTCTCCGCCTTGCACAGCTCCTTCCCGTGATCAGACTTTCCATACACTGTCCTCACAGAATGACTGAGCAGTCACCAACTGGGTGCACCAGAGCCCAAAACAGAGGCAACCCCTGTAGTATTGCCCCTGGGTATTACTTTGAGCTACAGTGATGCTATGTGGTGGAACCAGGAGTAGGGAGCCTCTCCCTAAGATGCTGGAATGCATCTTAGGGCTCCCAAATTTTAGTTTGTGTGCTGTTGGCAAGCCTCCAGCATTGTTCCTCTTCGCCACTAGCCTGAATGCACATAGAGAGTTGGACAAACTCAACAAGGCCCTGTGCAACCACATCTAATGGTGAAATTAGTCCTACTTTGAGCAGGGGGTGGGACCACATGATCTCCTGAGGTCCTTCCCAACCTGAGTAAGTCCATGGTTCTGTTCTTTACTGTCCATTTCCCTGTTAGTGTGTGTAGGCCTGAAGGCACCATCCTAGTTGATGGGTTTCTGTGGGTTTGATGCACAAAATGAAAGTAGTCTGTATTAGTTTATTTTTAAAAACAAGTGTATTCACAACACCTCATTAAGATAATATTCAAGATGCATAGACAAGTATACTAAAATTAAGATTAGCAGAATGATCCCTGCAGCCTCAGTATTCTTCCAACACATATTTGCATTGGAACACTGACTCTAGTTTTGCAACTGCACTCTGTTTCTGTTTTCTCTCATCCCTATATCTAACATGGATCTGTTCCGGAGATAAAGCAGCACTGAGGAGGATTGGTGGATGCTAACTGCAGTTGTTGAGAAGATGCAAGGTATTTTCTGAATGAAGCAGGGCATGGTAGAAAAAAACAACAAGAGCTCCAGGTCTGGATAGTTGAAGTCTGCTCTGGAGAGCTGGACAGTATCCTTGCCTCTTCATTGAAATGTTCAGGCAGCATATGAGATTGTTTTTCAAACCTCAGCAGGCTTAATTAGATTCTGCAGTTCATTCATTTACAGTGAAGTCAATTCGAGTTTTACATGTGGAAAATCTGTGAGATCAAAAATTATACCCAATGGGCACATAGCACTATAGAAGAAAACGTCAGTTCTGGATGGTAGTATTTCTGACTTCTGTTAGACTCTCTCTCCCCACACACTTTTTCACTTTCTCAATTAGTTTTTCTTCCATTTTTATGTCAGTGGTTTTGAAAGGGTTCTTGGAAAAAAAAAGTTTCTGCATATACTGTACATGTTTTCATTTACAGATCAGTGAAATGGATAGGCAGATAAATAAATAGATAGGGTTTTCTGAGCTTGTGAAATATGTCACATCATATAAAACACTCTTCTAAGTCTGTTTTGTCAAATGTATCAAATGATATTTTTGAAATTATATTTCTGGAATATGTTTTCAGCATTTCTTATTGCTGTTCTTGATATATACACCCATGTTTGACAGTCCCTTAATCTGCCTGACATAAACTGAATGAATAGCAGCATTTAAAAATATGGCTTCAGGGACTCCTTAGGAGGTTTCTTTGTAAGTGTACATTTACTAGTTCATCTGTAAATTTATTTTATGAGGTGTTTAAAACTCAAGAAAACTGAAAAGCATAATATTAAAGCCTGGTTTACATCTACTGAAGTCAACGGGAACTTTGCAATTGACTTTAATGATAGCCTATGTCCTCTAATTATGAAAGTGGCAAGGATGATATACACAAAACCACAAGGAGAATTTTCTGTTTCATCATATTGTATTCTCTTTGCAGATGCATAAGAAAAGTACAATGTGGTTTGTTGTTGAATTAAACAATTCAGTGTCTGGACCTAATCCTGAACTCCATTGATACTTTAGGTTGTGTTTTCCTTCTCAAAAGATCACAGCCTGCTCATTCTTTCCATGGCTCATGAAGGTGACAAGGTAGGAAATCCAGCCAAATTTTCAAAAGGCTTTCAAAAATTATGCTTTTGGTTTTGATCTTACATCTGCCCCATGGTATGAGTAATGGAAGAAGTTGATGAAGCAGTTTTCTTCCTAATTGTCTTGTTTTTTTGATGTCATCAATTTTGACAGCGTTCCTGGAAATGCGTGTAATATCTGTAGCACATATGTACATGTTTTCCCTTAGGTTCGCTGAAGTGTAGTAGAAAGTTTCCATCATGCTATTGTAATCCCAGGCATCATTTTTGTATTGTGTTAGTGAAAGTGAGTGACAGTACACCACAACAACAAAAAAAGACTCCCAGAATTCAGCTTTTTTTTTCCTGTTAGTGTAACAAGCATGGCAGTCTGAACAGGCTAGATCTGGTAACTAATTTGAAGTAGTAAATAATGCTAGACAAAAATTCCCACAAGTTTCTCGTTGAGTCTGCTTCAGATATTACTCATTTGGTGGCTGAAATACCGGTCTTGCTTCACACTTCTAATGCTTGTGAAAGATTTAAATATTTGGTTGGTAACTGGAGTTAGATAGAGCTGCAGACAAGAGTTTGCCACAAGTTTTTGGTTGGGGCCATGCTCAGTTAGAAAATGCCACTTGTGCGGGGGTGGAAATGCTGTCCCTGAGGTGCATCAGCTTCACTGAAGCCTCAGAGGGAGCAGAGGGACTGCTGCCCTGCCCTCACTGCTCCCACCAGTCAGCCCTTGGGATTCTGCTGGGCTGATAAGATTGCTGGTGTGCTAATAAATAATGAAATGGATAAAGTCACCTCTTAAGATGGACAAAAGCTAGACCACCGAAGTTAGAAGTGAGTAAACTCTATTCCCTCCCGCTCCCAAGTCTCACCTGCCCCAGCATAGCCAGCTCCCACCTTGTCCCTGCAGTGGGATAGCAGCTCTCTGGCTTCCTGGTGGAGGGTCAGACCTTTCCGGTCTGCCACCCCCAGGATAACCCTTCAGGTTATCCTTCCCCCAGGCTTCATAGGAGACTGCTTTTTTTGAAGTGTCCCAGTGTTAGGGCAGCCAGGAATCCAGCAGCCCTGGGGTTTGTGCTGTCCAGTGATGCAATTGCTTTGGGAGCGGCCTGGAAATATTGTATACTGCCTTTCTCAAAAAAACCCCGTGTGTCATAAATTCTTCCTCAGAAAAAAAGAAGTGATTATTAGTAGTTACTGCTGGCCTAAGACAAAATTTGTATGTGTCAAAAATACTTTTAGTAAAAGAGAACCTGTAGAAATCATTCCAGATGGCTGCTGTAAGCCCTTAGTTCATCTTTATAGTCTAGACATGGACAGAGATCTCTGTAGTATAATTAGAGAAATAAATACCTACTGGAAATTATGTGTCTGTGTGAGACTTAGACTTGCTAGATGTAGGTTGGGGAAGGTGTGCAGAAGTAGGGACCTATTTCTCAAGGTACCTATAAACATGGTAGATGAAATACTTCTTCACCAAATGACTTCTCAGTCAATCCTGGTTTAGAGTTAGTTTTGAGGACCACCATGGCTTCTGTGGAAGAATAAAAATAAAAGAAACTTCAAAACAAGTACTCACAAGTTGAAATGTGGTGGAGGTGTAGAGTTTTTAGTTTCACATGTGAAAACTACCTAGAACTTATATCCTAAACAAAAGAAAAAAGACATTTGGGAAAAGCACCACATCTAATTTGATGGGTAATCATCACAGAAAAAATGTTGGTAGATAACTTGAGGACAGAGTAAAAAGACGGATCAGAAAAAAAAATTGTGTCTTGGAAGGCAGGATATATAGGAACAAAGTAAAAACAAATGAAAGGAGCTTGAGAAAAATAGTAAAAGTTTCTTAATCTAGGAAAAATTTGGGAAAGAGAAAGACTCTTGTGCTGTGAAGAGGAACTGTAATTTATGTTGGATAAACTAATTATGATCTAGCAACAGAGCAGAGTCTGGAGGCTTATAGTGGGAATGGAAATGGCAGATAAACAGCCAAAGGTGGACAAAGCTTAGGAAAACTCACGGGCTCAATTCAGAGGAGTAGGATAACTGTAGTTCCAAAATTCAGACAAAACAGGTATATGAAACCATATGTGTGACTATCTCATAAATAATAAAGGGATCATTTGACAAGAACAAGGTTTCTCTGTGTAAGAAGGGAGGAAAGACCCGCGTGAAGAAGAGCAGCAGGCCTATTAGTCTGACTTCAGGGGTGCAAAGCTTTAAAAGAGATCTTGAAGGAAAGCAATTTCTACATAGTAAATGGGAATGGGGCAGGGGGAAAATTAATTTAAAAAAATCTCCCACCTTGTACATGGTATGCAAATCTGGTACTTTGATTAGTTGGAAGTGACAACTTGTAGAAGCTAACTTTTCTGGATCTCAGTGAAGAATTTGCTGCCATACAGCAACATATTTGATATATCCCCAGAAAATACATTTCTCTGAGAAGAAGGAAACAAATTTGGAAGTAAGAGAAATGTAAGGAGGAGAAAAGAAGTGAAGCAGCAGTTCTTTAATCAAGTTTACTTGCTAGTTTGAGTCAGGTAATTATGCTTTTTTTCCCCATGGAAATTATGTCCAGTGGAGTCTATGGTGTTTAGCAGTCCTGTGCAGATGCAGAAGGCACTTAGAGTGTGGATTCTCTCTTACTTTGCTCTTACCACAGTTTAAAATATATGACATTTTGTCTGAAAGTATATGTCTTTAGATGGAGAACCGTAAGTGTCCTTCTGGTGTTCAGGGTAGGACTGGGGAAAGGGACAAAGGGAAACAGTGTGGAAAGCTAAAAAAAGACAATGCAAAAAAAGACAGTGCAAAAAATATGCAACACTCAGGAACCTTCTTACTTACTACCACTGTTGTGGTTCTGTGTCTGTATCACTTTTGACAGTCAAACTCCCATATAGCCCTAACAATTCTCAAGAGGAAGGAAATAGCAGTGTACACCTCCTCTGCTGCCCTGTGGTCTGGACAGGGAGACTCTCTGCTCAGGAAAGAACACAGTGAGCTTTCAACAAGGGTGTTGAGGGTAGCGTGTACTCATGTCTGCGATCAGATCTGTCCCACAAACAGAAGTGCAGATTGACGGGTTGGTTCAGGTTTCCAGGAACTCTGATTCCCTATACAGCATTTCACTTCCGAGCATTGCTCCCTTGCACACTGAAGACTCCCAGCACTCACCAGCCTTTAGTACTCTGAAAAAATGGACACACTTCCCAGTTGTAAATCGAAGCCTTCCAGACCTCTTCAGGCCAATATAGAGTAAGTGACATTCCCCAAACTTATGTAAGTTACCTGGTATTCATCCTTGTGGGACAAATCCTTGGTCACTGAGAAGTGGTGACATGGTGTCTGTGCAGCCCAAAAATGTTACTGCGCCCTAGGGATAAGCATTTCCCTCTGACTTGACTGCAAAGGACTATGGTTGGAAGGAAATGAATTTCTCTGTTTGCCTCTGAGAGCAACAAACAAAAAGGTACATGCTGATAAAGTCCCTTACAAATACAGAAGTCATGTCTCTATTTGTCATGTAAGACAAATAGAGAAAACATAAGAGGAAGGTAAGGACCTATTTTTTGATGTGAAGAAAGTACTCTTAGAAGTACAGAATCAACCAAAGTAGGAGGAAACTTGTTACAGGAGGAAGAAAAGCTACACGTACAAAACTATTGAGAAGATTAAGCCATGGTATCATTTATGGTTATTTCTTCTTCTGTGTGCATCAGTTTAAAGTAACGTTTAACTTTGATGTTAGGAGTCACTTCTGCTGGCTGTCCCTGAGGAGATCAGCTGAAACCAGAATACCCTTGAGGAAGAGCTTCTTGGTCATAGTGTGGTTTAGCAGCTAAGGGAGTCTGGATGAGCTGTGACTCGTCAAGGCGCATATGCTGCTTGGTGGGGGAAGGGATGGGAGGATTTCTATGGGAAATTATGCTGGAAACACATTACCAGAAGTGATGAGAGCACTTAGAAACATTGCAGCTGCAGTACTGTGGTCCAAAGCAGTTTCCTAATAGCTGCTGGATAAGAAGTGGAATGGGTCTATGGCAATTACACACATCTCATGATTAAGAGAGCAAGGCTTAAAACGTTGAAGTTAAGAACATCCCAGGTGAAAGAAAAAGAATGGGGCATGAAAAGTATTCCCAACGCCAAGTTTATTCCATGCAATGTGAGTTCAACAAGTAGAGTGAGAGAACACAAAAATGTGGCAAAATTCAGAGCTCTCATCCTTGTGCAGAGTTTTATTTGAATCCCATGCTGTTTCTATCCTATGCATGCATTTTCTTCACCATGTATAGCATTAAAAACTGGAATGACTGCTTAAGGGTGAGCAGTAACCTGAGATCAAAACTCAAGCTGACCTCTAATGTTACAAGAAAAACAGTGCTAATGCTTTGGGATTAGAAGTGTCTTTTTGCTGGATTCTAGCACAGAACTGAGACAGTCATAGTCAATTGTTGGTAATGATGTGCTCAAGAAGACACTCCTTGAGCTAAGTGGAAGCAGCTAGAAAACGTTTCTGTAAAGTTCCTCAGGGTTCACCACAAAAAAGTAGGAATATATTTGCATAAGCATTTTTTCTGCAATATACTCTTTGCTTTTCTGCTAGCTCAAACCTTGGGATGTCGAGGCTAGCAGAGATTTGGGGGTTAGATCAGTCTTTCTGCTTCCATCCTGCTGCTGTTCACAGCAATGTGCTTGCCCTGGACTACTCGGAAGGCATCGGGATGCAGCTGTGCTCTTCATGAAGTCATTGCTTTGTTAAGAAGGTTGAGGATAAACCACAGTTATGATGTTTCCAGGTTTTGATAGTCACAGTTATATGTGCGACAAACATGGACACTATAAACAGAAGTACGTACAACCACAGGTAGGACTGAAACTCTCATCAACTTTGCAATAAATATGTTTAAGAAAACCCTCTAGATCTATAACCGTCTTTTAAAAGTCTCATGTGTCTCATATTGAGTTAAGTGAGTTTACAGAGTTTACAGAAAGAAACCCCCTTTTCATGTGTTTGCATTTACCAAAATAAAAACAATTTTTGGAAATCAATCTTTTAACCATCAAAATAATGCAATGTTATCTTCTTTTCACAGATGGGACAACTGAAGGAACACATTTGTGAAGTTACCTGCTCAAAGCCGTAACAGACGCCAATGATAAATCCAGGAACAGAAGCCCAAGTTGCGGCCTAACACCATCAACAAGCCAATGTAACCAACAAGAAAGTTTGTCTTTTGATGTTATTGCAATACCTATATATTATATATAGGTTATACCATAGCAATACCTATACATTAATAATTTACCCAAGACGAACACATTTGAGTATGTATATTTGCCTATGTTCTTGTAAATAATTCAAAAGGTTTCTTTGAGTTCTAATTCTGAATTTAATATCTAATATATATATATATGTATAAGATAACTGGGCAATTTTCCACAACAATTTATTCATAAGTCATGATTAAAACATACAGTTTAGAGTCCAACTTTAGGGTCTTCAGGGTTCGGAGCATCTTACACTTCAGCTTGCCTTTATAGAAGACAGTAGATGGTTTGCAGCTCAGGAAAAGGAAATAAAGTTGTATATTGTTCTTAGCATTGGAAATCACTTTTAGAAATATTTCTGTGTGTTGGAAGCACCAAAAGCTCGTGTCTGACTGTGGTTTAGCTGTAGGGGAGGCTATGGCAATGGACCCAGGCAGCAGAGGAGCTATGATTATGGAAGCCCATTAGAGAGCCTAATGCTGCCTGGTGTATTGAGCAGTATCGGACAGTTTTGGCAAAGGTACAACTTGCTTTCTGTCTCTTGTGGCTGTGTCCTCCTATCCTGAGTCAGGAACATGTGCACAATACTTCTTTGTGAGATGCTGATCTTTTGGGATGTTAAGCACCAATAGTTGCATTAGCAGCTGGTTTTACTTGCAGTCGAGGCTTTGAAGCAGCACAGCAGCTTTTTGCATAGGGTAGGGAGTGTTTCCTTCTAGCTTTCACTTCAATCTGACATTTTAGTGCTGTGGCTTCCCAAAATAGGGCTAGTGTCCAACACTGAAACACCATGGAAGCATTGTCTTAGTAGTAAGTAGCTTTGTGGTTTATTAAGAGCAAATATTAAATCAGATTGGAAAAATATATTACTTCTACAAAATACTCCTTATAGGACCTTTACAGTTTTCACATCTTTATTTTCAATAGTTGGCCTGGACACAGGTGATGAGCATGCTCAGACAATGTGTCAGGTTAGCTGCAATCAAACCCATAAAGTGTCTGCAATTCATCCATGCTTCTCCCACCAGCAGGTGTCATTCTGGAAAAAGGAAAATATTGTAAATTTCTGAACTGGAGAATTTGGCTGTGACAAAGAAGAGAAAAAGTTTACTTAAAATATGGCTTTTGAAGGATATTTTATTCCAAATTAAAACCCGAAGAAAGCTGGCTCGTCTGCATTTTTTAATAATCTATGTGCAGTGAGTTATCCTGACCTATAAGTAACAAAGGGCAGACAACTGGTAAGGCAAACCAATGTCTGCTTAAAGCTATCTTCTGCTTTTTATTGTTCTCTGTGACATGTTTAACACTGCTTACTTACCCCCCAAGACTATAAAATCAGTGATATTCATCAATCTTCCCAAAGGAAAAAAAGAATTAGATGTTGAATTCAGCTCTCATTTACTTCAATGTAAACTTGAAGAAATCTCATTGAAGCAACTGAAATCAGTAGAAATGTTTGGAATTTAGTCTGAAGTAACCAAAAGAAAGTAGCATTTAACTTTCTACTCCATAAATGAGCCTCAAGCAGAAAATAATCTCTTATAACATTTATGCTTTCTTTTAAATGTTCATCTGGGTATTAGCTGCAACCTCCTTTAATATCTAGAGACTTTTTGATTTCCCTTAATCACAGTGAGAGAGCTATAGCTGAGTTGTAAAGAACCAAGACCCTGCTGGTTCATTGTGAGGGTTCCTGATATACGAAGTCTAGTTTTCTGGCTGTTAAAAACAAACTTTCTGTGAAATTCATGCAGGAGGTGCCTTGCCCACCCTATAGGCTACTAAAAGTTTGTTCCAACCCATCATAGCTCTGATGATTATAAATATTTTTCTGTCTTTCTGTCTTCTAAATTTATCCAGACCCCTTGTATCTATATTGTCCTTTTGCATTAGTTTTTTCTCCTACCATTTACATCACCATGTAGCTGAGAGGTTTGGGCCCAAGCACTCTAGGCTGAACAAATACAGTTTGCATAGTTTTCTTCCAGAAGCTCATTTCCAATTCCCTGGCATTACTTTAAGTTAAATTTATCTACTTTAAATAGGCAAGCAGAAATGTGCATCCTTTGTTGTTTCCCTGTATACAACATTAATGCAACAGCTTCCACACCCTTCTAGAAATACTTCACCTGGTAGGTCTTAGCCCTGTATCTGATTTCTTTCTGGTAAATTCATCACCATCATCTTCCATTTGACTAGTTCAGCCAGGCTTATCTTCTCCTTAGCCATTTCTAGAAGTGTTACTATAAAGGATAGTTTGCTACTATGATGTGATGCTCCACCAAAACTCTTCTTGGAATTAAAGGGAAATTTGCTTGAGGAAAAATATGAGAACAAGCTCCAAGGCTTGGCTGCAAGGAGCACATTGAAGTGGGAATCAATTTTACATTTATAAAATTTGTATTTGCAACAAAGTAACGTAAAATAATTGTACTGCAGGCAGCCATGTCTTTTCCAAGATATTATTTAACTATGAATGTCACAGTGCTTCTCCTGTGAACAGTATCAAGCACTCAGTGGCTGAATGGGAAAAAATAGTACATAGACTTAGAATTAAAAACTTCACTCTAAAATAGCTAAAAGCTGTATTCTTAGATTTGCATGAAGCCTGTATTACTATTTTCTGACTTTTTGAGTTTTTAACTTTGAAATGTAGTGGTATTCTAAAATTTCAAGTCAGAAAGTATAAAAGTATTGTGAATGTGACTAGTTTATTACGAACTTTATAGGATCAAGATAACAAGCAGTGATGATCTCCAGCAGGTTTTTTACAGTAAAGGATGAGATTTATACAACAATTTCTTTATAGTTTTTACTAATTTTTCCATGTTTTTAGCTAAGTGAAATAATATAAAATTCTGTTTAGTCTCTTTTGGTTTTTAATTTTAGTGTTTTATTTTACTAATTTTAGAAAAAAATGAGCATGCCTAAACATAGACCTCCTGTGCCATTTTAGAGCCCTGGGGGATCCCACCTGGTCTCTCACTGCCAGTTAAAAGTGTGGTCTTTTGTCAAAGGTCAAAAGTCTCCTGTAGGTCCCATATCATGCCAGTCCTGCACAGATATCCTGGATACTCCAGGGTATTCTAGCAGGCTTTAGGCACCTTCTTTTGGGCACCTGAATTTCTCCTTTAGAAAACTGCTGTAAAAGTTAATGTGCCTCTACAAATGCTTAACAAAATTAAAGATACTACATCTGTGAAGGTAATTCCATCTAAGGTGTTTGATTTCAGTTTAACAGGACATAGAGGCAGGAAAGTAATTTCATATCTAACAAGTGCAGAGTTACTATGTTCAACAGGATGCTGTCAAGAGTCTGTTTTGAATTACGGTGGCTGAGCTGAATCTGTGTGTGAATTGGGAGTTGCTATTGTTGAGACTATGCACCACGAAAGGTCCTGGGGCTTCTCATCAGGACCATAGGGGTTTGATATTCAAAACTGCTGGGAGTCTGGCAAAAGGAAGCTTGATTCTTCAGTTTGGGGCATGATGCAGGAAACTAATCGTGCTGAAGAAAGCAGTGATTTCAGGTACCAGGGCACTTGGATAGAAGGAATAAAAGAAATACTTGCATTAAAAAGAAATACTTGCATTGATTACACACACAATTAGAAACTTATGTTAATCAGGTCCAATTTATAATGGTCAGAGGGAAGTTAAAAACCTTGAATATATTAGTTAGTGTAGTTATATACGAATTGTACAACATGGAGTTGAGCATTTCTGAATTGTTATTTTCTAACAAGAGCAATTCATTGTATATAATATATACAAATTACATATTATATGTGTATGAAACATATAACTCATCTTAAAATAAAATTAAAGCTATTGGAAGGTAGCAAATTCTGCATAAAATTCACCACAGGCATTAATTAGGATTATATAGACAGAGAACACTTTCCCATGGGCTTTTTTAAATCACTTACTAGCATTATGATTGAAAGGAATTTGGATTATTTTTACAGAAGTTAAAAAAATGAAATGGTTACAGAAAAGGTCATGATGGACGGTGACTTAGAAAGCAATCGTAAAATCTAATTTAGTAATGTACAGTACTAATTGTATGATTTGCGAGTGAAGTAGAACTGTTTTCATGTCCTTTTTTTTTTTTATGTGTTTATCAATCTTTTTCAGGATGAACCCCCAAAGCATGGCTGTAATGGTTGTTTGAAACAAAAAATAGATACTCTCTTGGTGTCATTCATTTCAGTGATCACTGGGAGTCTGAGCTTGAATGAAGGTGGAAGAAAATTCCTACAGGGAATTGGGAGTGGTTTGTCCCTTAAGAAGGATGTAATGGCATTTTTAATGCTTTCACCAAATACCAGGACATGTGATAAAAGTTTATGGATTGAGAATTAATTGAAAGATTGTGAAATGGGAAAGAATGCAAATTATGGGAAGCCTTGGAGAGCTACAACCTAAGCTCCTAGAATATCACTGGAGTTGATGGAAACATCTCCAATGACTGGGTTTTTTTTTAATATAATTTGCCAGCCCCTGTAGCCCTCCCCAGACAGACTGGGGAAATACATTCCTTTTATTAATATTAGTCCCGGGGACTCAAGTATATTTCAGGCAGTGAATGATATAGTTGATGGAATTTGCTACAGAATTCAAATAAAAAAAAAGACAGTGGAAATTTGTACCTGTGGGTTGGTATATGTTTTAAAAAATGTTTTTCTACAGATAATGGGCTTATATCTAAATCTTGTTATTTGCAATATAAAGGTTTACAGTTTTATATGTATTAAATAATACATCTCTATTATAAAACATGAAATGTTTAATTAAAACAACGACTAAAAGTATGTAACTATGTAAATATTACTTAAATCCTGTGTGTAAACGTTACATAAACTGTTTCATTTCTAGGGGTCACTGAAAACACTTTAAAATTTTATACAGTTTTCTACACTTCCCCCTCCCCTAGTTTTTAATATAATTGCAGGTTTAAAGTTAATCTGTCTATTAGTTTTTTGATATTTGCCGTTGTGTTAAATTTTACTGAGGAACAATTTAGTTTGGGAAAACCATTGAATCTGTGGTTCATGTTGTTTGAACAAGAAGTCCCTGAGTATTTGTCCCAAATACCAGCATTTTTACTACACTGGCAGCTGTATATTTGTGGTCACCTGATGGCAACATATGCAAAGACTGTATATAGTGGCAGTGCCTCTTCCAGAGAATACCAGGAGGGAAACTGGATGTGGCTGATGCACACATAATTTGCTCTTCTAGGTGGAGGTATCATGTAGACAGCACTTAAATGACACTTTTTATTTCTGGATAAGATGAAGATAAAAGATAGCTCCTCTGAGGCACAGCTTAAAACTGAACATACACAGAGATGTGTCATTAGTAATTNCAGTGGCAGTGCCTCTTCCAGAGAATACCAGGAGGGAAACTGGATGTGGCTGATGCACACATAATTTGCTCTTCTAGGTGGAGGTATCATGTAGAAACCATTTGAAAGCCATTGCTTATGTCCCCTGAAACAGACTGAAAACAATAGCTCCTCTGAGGCACAGCTTAAAACTGAACATACACAGAGATGTGTCATTAGTAATTCTGAAAATGTGTTTACAGTGATTAGATAAAATATTTAGCCACCATTTAAATATTTTAGTTCATACGCAAATTTTAGGTGTCTACTACACTTAACATTTCCAATAACTGGTTTCATTAGGATTTTTAGTGATACAAATTAATAACAAAAGGCAGTAATACAGAGTGCTGTTATGAGGCCAAAATACATGTGGTTTAAATTTGAAGAATTAAATGTTAGCATTTCCCTATAGAGAAAGGTTATTTGGGCAGTGGTGTACTGACATTATCACCACCCACAGAGAAGGGGACCTGTTAATCCTATTGGTTAAGCAGAAATGCAAAAAAGGAAAAATGTAGGTCTAGAGGGTTTGCTTGGTGTAAGTGAATCACACAGGAGAAATGCTGATACCCAGAATTGTTGTAGTGACTTTCTTAGATGGTTAGAAAAAGAAATAAGCATGGGATATTTTTGTCAAGTTAGAGGGTTTAGATTGCTTGCTAGGTAAAATCAGTCCTGGTTATTAATGTAGTGTAAAGTTAAATGATGATCATGGAAATATGATAATATGTGCTGTTTGATAATCAGACAGAAACGATTTTCTGAGTCCATTAAGAATAATCCAATGTGTTAACCATTCGGCTGAAGGGCTGCTAAGAAAACAAATGTGAAAGTGAATAAAATAAAGGAAAGCTTCCTTCAGGAAGGTGTTTCTGGACACTACCATGCTGCTTCTAGCAAATCATATTTGATAAGATACAGGTAAGCAACAGCATTCATTTAGCAGAAAATAGTGTTATCTGTATCTCTGGATTTTTGTTTAAACAATCATTAATAATAATCTTATGGGATCTAGCTAGAAACAAATCTATTAAAAATAACAATTACTAATTTGCTACTATTTAACGTTAGTTTAGTCTGACAGCTCTGGGTAGCTTCGTCTATTATTCCTGGAAGAAAACTACATAAAATTGGGTGGGTTTAAGTAGTTTCATACAGACGTGGTACTGCACAGAAAAGCTAGATATTAATATCACTACATGTAGGGAGATCTTGTCTCTGGCCCTCAGTCTGATGGTTTGAACATGGGCTGAGCTACCCCAGGCTACCAGTACTCTGCACTTTGGCTTTTGAAACTTTCTGTGTGAGATATAGTTTCAACATGAAACTTCAAAATACAGTGGTTGACATTCAGTTTTGGTTTGTTTGAAGCTAAAACTCAAAGCAAAACTCCTGGAGTACAGAACTGTATGCAGCAAAATATAAGAAAGTTAACACAAAACTTCTGCTAACTGAGCAAACTAGTTTCACTCAGCTCTTGAAATAACCCCTTTCTGCAGATTCACTTTTCAGTTGCACATGTGTGAGATGTCAAAAAATGAGTTGGTTTCACAACCCCGTAGCACAGATGAATGCCACAGCTCTAAGGCTCACCCTCTGTTCTTGTCTTCATTCTCTGTCTTGGTTGATACTTAAGACATCTGCAAGAGATGAAATTTTCTCAGCCCCAGGTTAGTTACGTTCATTTGTAAAACAAGGGATTTGAGGTAAGACCCAAATTCCAGTCTGTATGTTTTTATAGTTGTATCCAGCACTGAGAACTCATTTCCCAAATCTGTAACAATGCTCTACATGGCTCTGAGTCCTAAAATGACAGAAGCCACTTCATCACTTGGAGGTCATTCAAGGATTCATGTGTTTTAAGTTCAAAACCTGATATTTCAGAGATGCTGAACACCTGCTGCTCTTCCTACCTGGTACGGGAGCTGCAGGAGCTCATGCCCCTGTGAAGATCAGACCCCTCATCCCAATGTGCTCTTATTCACAGTGGGGTAATGAACAGTCTTCTGCTCTGCTTTCAGTTTTTGTAAAATTTTAGTGTCACAGGCTTGAAACAAAGTGATGAACTGCAGTGAGATTGTTCTGATGGCATCTGCGATACAATTAATTTTTTTTTTAGTAGCTGATACAGTGCTGTGGTTTGGATTTAGTATGAGAACAAAGTTGATAGCTCAGTGATGTTTTAGTCGTTGCTAAGAAATGCTTACTCTGAGTCAAAGACTTTTCACTGTCTCCTGCTCTGCCAGTGAGTAGGTGCACAAGAAGCTGGGAGGGAGCATAGCCAGGACAGGTGACCCAAACTGGCCAAAGTGATATTTCATACCATAATATCAAATAATCAGTGATCTTGTGCATATGTATTTTGGTTATTCGCATGTTAACTTTTCATGGTGAACTGGTAACTAGAAAAGTGCAAGGGGAATGGCTGAGGTTGTAGTTCTAAGGGTATCTTGAACTACAGCCCACAGGCTGATTCACACAAGTTACACGAGAATTATTGTGAGTGGAATTTACAATGTAATGGCTCACCTTTGCACGAGAATGTATTTTATATCGTGTGAGTATATGTGACGAAGAAAAAAAAACCACTGGGCTGTTGGTGGGACACAAATATTATGTGACTCTGAATCTCACTTGGTATTTTAAACTATGAGAGTTTAGATTTGAGTCATCTTAACCTGTAAGTAGGATATATATATACATATATAGCATACAAGCTGTAAGCAAGGCTTCTGTTTTGGTGCTATTTTCCCCTCAAATCGCAGATTTGGTTCTCTGTTGCTGTAAATCATTATAGCCTTAATGAAAAGTCAGAAGTCAGATTAATTGCTTCCAAAATTTGAAAAGAAACCTGAACTAGAAAGCTGAACAGTCTTCTATTTTCTTCTTCTCTGTTTGGCCACTTTGATTTTCAGAGCCCTTGGGCCACCAGACCATGTTACACCCATCTTTCACCCCTACTTCTCCACGGTGCTTCCTGCATGGAGCTGGTTTTAGAATTTGCCCAATCTCTAATTTGTCCTGTCAGAGCACGCAGCAGCATCTAATCTTTCATTAGAGGCAGAAACTTTGTTAGCACTGCTCAAAGTGCATCTTTAACCCAAGACCTTTATTGGAAAACTCCACTAGTCAGAGCAAGAGCTGGAGAAGACGGCCCACAGGTGCCTGCTGGCAGCCCCAGAGTCACATGCGGGGAAAAGTTATTTTTCTTCCTTTTTTCCTTTTAATTCAGCACTTGACTTAAAACACGCATCTAGCCAAGCTATGCAGAGAGTGACTTGCTGAACAGAAGACTGTAAGGTAGGATTAGAGGCTCCACTTAAGAGAAAATCTGCTTCAGCCTAGAGAACAATCCCACCACAAATAAAATTAACTTTAAAAGTAATGAGATTTTCCACTGTTAACTTAATAGCAGCAAACCACATGCTCTAAACAATGTTCTAATTTTTTTTTTTTTTTAAATAAGGACTCATTTTTAGTAACAAACCCCAGACTAATAGGCCTGCCATTTTTCCACTGCTGGAGGAAAACCTGGACTCTTGCTGAGCTGTATGGTGAATATCTCGGAGATATTTGAATCTACTACTAATAAAAAGGCCTCTAAAATGCTAGCATGGAGGAACGCGTTTAAGGTAGAAGAAATGGAAAAAGTGGGAAAAAGAAGAAACATCTCTTTGATCTTTAGCTCTGTTATTTTTTAGATTATATTTCTTCTGAACTTCCAAAATCTTCATTAACAAACGAGCTTTCTTTCAAAAAGTATTAAGTTATCAAAACATTTGCCAGGTTCTAGTATTAAATCCTAGCAGTCAGCAGTGTTTAAGTTCAGCCATATCGTTTTGCTGAGTAAGTTATGCTAAAACTTAAAGTTTTCCCCTTGAAATGATCTTTCCAAATGAGATTGATATTGTGAGAAAAAAAAAGAAAAAAGAGAAGGACGCCTTCATCATGAGGAATTATGGAATTAATTTTCTTTATATACTCTGTTTGCACAAGACATTTTTGTTAACTCTTAATAAAAATACCATTCAGCTGCTACTTTCATTGTTTTTATCCTGGGACCAATACAACATTGTCATTATTGGATATAAAGTGCTGTAAAAACAAATCTAATTTGTTAAGTTTATTTTGATAAGAAATAAATATAAAGGTAGTGCATAGTTTGTACAGTGCTGCTATCATAGGACTCCTGGGTATAATTTATATAAAGAAAATAAAAAAGCATACATAACTTTCTAGTTGATTTCCTTTAACAGGGCTAATTGAAAACAGTTTCTGTTATTTAAAAGTAATTTATTTTAAATATACTTTTTAAAACAAAGTTCTTATTGATATCCATTTTAAGTATAATATTATCTCAGTGTGGGATACAAGTAAAAGGTCAAATCTTGTAGGAGTTTTCTGTATGACTCAGTTCTGATCATAGATAAACTTATCGGGGAAACCAAATTAGTTAACCTTTTCAGTACTGAAAGCTTGTTTTAACAGGCTGCGATTGTTTCTTTCATATAGCAAATATAGCAATTCAAAGCTTATACTTTTGTTCTGAAACATGAAAAAGAGAGTGCTAATTTCCCTTTTTTCTCTCTGATAAAGGGGAAAGGCTCATGATTTTAACATGAAATTAGACTTGTTGAGGTTCAGTATGATGCACAATAAGGAATACACTATGAATTTTTACTCAAGAACTGCTGTGCTTAGTGGTAGAGAAACAGATGCATTTTTAAACTTTGATTATGTCTGTAATTTATGGACATTGTTAAATGATATATTTTTTCTTGCCCAGTAGCATAATCCGTATGTATGGATCTGATTACTGGAGCACTGAAAGACAAGATGGCTGTAGGCGGCATATCTCTAGAAATGAGCCTCTTTCCATATGGCTTGGTAGGTTGTTCAATTCCTATCTGGTTAACTGGTTTGCGATGTTTCTCAGCAGTGTCATCAGCTCTGCTTTCCTCCCTTGTTTCCATTGCAGCAGCACCAACTATTCACTGACTTGGGTTGTTTCAATACACACAATCAAACTCAACACCAGCAACTGCCCTTCTTTCTTAAAGCCAAGTCTAGAGTGATTGAAAGGCTTTAATGGACTTCAGCTCTGGGACCACACTCATGTCTGAGAAAAACTCTCACAGATGTTGATGAACTAAAGCCGTCTTCGAGGCCTTCATGCAATCTCACCTCTATCAGTGCAATTTAATGTGGAAGCTGGGGCACAGTTTGACTCATGGAGAGTTTTGTCTGCAAACTCACTCGTACCACCTTTACTAATTTTGCATAGTATTTACACTCACTGACTTGTGCGAGGAAGTTGTGCTGAAAGGGATTAAAAATGGTGAAGTCTCTCTCCTGGAGAGCTACATTTCAGACAGTATCGGGTGAAGAGCTTTTGAGACACAGATATTAATGGTATTTCTAATATTCAGTGAAATAAACACATTAAAAAGATCCAAGAGTGAAGATATCTAGACATCTAGTTTTGAAGGTCAAAGAATGTTGAGCATTAGCTGAGCTGTAGGAGTGTACTGATTCTGCACAGTGAAAAGTAAAAAAAAAAAGGTCTGTAAGGCATGTCCCAAGTTGAACTCTCATGGGCCTTGAGTGGAAATTTTGTCAAGCCTGGTCATATGCAGTAAAACATTCATCTCATGCTGGTAGTGGCAATGAACATTTTTTTTCTTCCATAATTTACAAAATATGCTCAAGTAGGTAGTTAAAGCATTTAAATTCTTCCATGAATGGAATAATTTGACATGGTATTTTCTAAGCAGAGAAATAACTGGCACTTGGGGAATTGCTTTGTCACTCTCACAAACTGTAATTTCTTCCAAATGGGCAAAATAATGCAATTATCTGGACAGATAATGCAGCACACTTGGCGTACATGGTCAGTGAAGATAGTCTTTTATTTCATGATTGCTTTGGAAAACTTTTGGATCACTTTTAATTATTAAAAGAGCAAATTCATTGTTTCTTTGTGGACTAGTCATGCTGTATAGTATTTTCTTTTTTTGTTCTATTTAAATTTAGATTGTTATTCATACTTCCTGGCAGTGGTTAGAAGAGGAGGATGACTGAGAATTTAGTAGGTGAGTTAATCTCATTTTTACTGTGTTTCTAGAGCCACCCACTTTCCCTTCATATGGCTTGACACCAAGAAGTTCTTAAAAGTTTTGCAGAGTGAGACCAAAGTTTTGTCCTTCTGCATCCCTCCAGCTTCTCTTCTGCCTTGTTTTTGCTACTGCCCTTCACTCTTCTTCACTTTTAGCCCTTCTCACCAGTCCAACACTTGGGTCACCTCCACACGTCTTCTGCCTGCAGATGCCTGGTGGGGTTGACAGTGGTTGTTTGAGGTCCGGGAGTCAGTAGAGAGTGATTAGGTGACTGCTGACTCAGTGGGGTGAAGCCGAGAGGTCCTCAGCAAAACCACATCTGTAGCCCCATACCCTGAAAATGAGCATGCCCTTAATGTCCGCAAGGAATCCTTCGAACATCAGGACTACTGAAACTTAGTGGATTTGTCTAACAGGTGAGCACAAAGTGGTGTTGAAGCCATTCTCCCTATTGAAGTGTTACAGCTTCCTCCCCCTATAGTGGGTGTCAGGGGGCATAATAACATGAAGGTTCATACCACAGCTCCACTTTCAGCCTCAGTGCTTGTAGAGCTTGTGGATGGGTATCCTCTCTTCTATTTGGCCAGTTATTTTCATGCAGCTTTTAGAAATGCTGGTAACTTTGAGATATTTGGCTTCTTTGGCAAAGGAGTTCAGCAACTTTTCAAAGGGGAAAGACACAGATGTGCCCATGCAGATACTAAAACTGTCTTACAAAACAGCGATAAGTTATAGACAACAGAGAAATCTTTTTGGTGTTCTTGCACTAGTGGTTACACTAGCCCTTAGTAAGGATTTTCAGAAGGAAATTAGCTCTAGCTGTGGTGTCTCTGCATGTTTCTGACTTACACTGAAAGATGGTCGAAACAGACCTGGGATACGCTACCAGTCTCATTATCTGAGATAATGAGAATAAAGGAGATTGCAGATGGCTCAATGCATTGTTCAACAGGTATATTAAAAAACTGTCCTGATGTCAGAGAAGTATACAAGTCCTCTGTGATAAATCTTCTTGGTGCACCTCACAGCTTCTGAATTCTGCTGTACACTCTCCACTGCTTCCATTACTAAAAAAAGCTCGTTGTCCTGAGACTTTTAAATAAAACACTGCCAAAATGTGGCATCTCTAAAGTCCTCATTTAGCAAGGGGCTGGAGAGGTCATTCCTCTTTCGGCTGCCATGCTGGATCATGGGTGTTCAACAAGCATGACTGCCTTGCTTGGGGTTTTAGCAGTGAAATGTGCAGGATTTAAAAGTCCAGAAGTGACAGTTTTGAGCTAGAGAAAGGTTATCTCGTTTTTCCTCTAAATATGTCTGTTGGTCTTGGGAAAGATGTTGCCTCTTTCCACAAACCTCACCACACTTACAGCCCTGGACTATCTTGGCTGCAACAACAGTAAAAATTACCTTCAGCTTTTTATTTTCTTTTCCATTTCAAGCCCTCTAAATTATATGTTGACATTCTCACTGCAAGCTGAAGGGCAATATATTTCACAATATTGCTGTCTTCATGTGGGACACATGGCTTGATGTTGAGGAATATGCCCAGAGCAGTGTGACGTGGACTTCACCTGCAGCCAGGTATAAGGAGCAAAAGTTGCAGCAGCTGCCAAAGGAAGGGTTCATAAAAGAGTTGAACACTTTGAATCAGAAAGGGAGAGCTGTGAGTGTTTTCAAGGATCAGGGCTTCAGCTTTGTGCAAATTTGGAGTGTCTCTCACTGATAAAGAAATCAACCTTTTTGATTGCAGTGATAAAAATTGCATGAAGGTTTCTGCTTCCCTGCTTCCCAGTGCCTCACAGGCCTGATTATGGGTGCCTATCATTAGTGATTATGGACCTGAAACCTTTCCACAATTACTGTGGTTGCAGTTCTGCAAACAGGAAGCAAGAGTGAGATACGATCACTGAGAGTGGTCCTGTTTTGTCTGTGGGTTGTGTGGTCTTCTCTAAAGGTTGACTGAACACAGTGTCCCACCATGGCTGATTTTTCTTTGCAATATATTATCTCTAAGAAAGCTGAAGCTATACAATTCACCCATTGCCCTACTGCTACATTTTTATGTTCTGAGAACAACAACAAAAAAATCAGCCTCTAATGTGCTCTTTGACTCATTACCCAGCCGCAGAAAGTGCTTCAGTATGCAAGTACAGGAGATGTGTTTGTGTCTGGTCATCTCTGGAATGCTTAGCTGCTGAGTGAGTGGCTGGGAAACTCTTGTGGCTGGCTGTGCCAATGATGACCTGCCAGCACCAACAGCCTGATCTCTGATGATGGGGAGGGAACATGGGAGCCTCTGCAGTGCTGAGAGTCTGTGGAATGCTGGGCCTATGAAGCTGGAAGGATGCTCCATACCAGGATCTCTTGGTATTTGCTCAAGTCCCTTAGTGCCTTACAACTGGCATTCAGTAGTTTGTAGGATTAGGCTTCTGCTGGCTGGAGAGAAAAAACCTCATTTGTGCAGGATTTCTGTGTATGCAAAAGGCCTGCTAGAAAAATGGTGAAATTAAAATGATCACACATGTCCTTCACTTTAGGAAAAGGGAGCTCTAAGTGAGAGCATGTGTGCTCCAACTCTGGGGCTGAGAAAATGTCAGTCTGATGTGCTTGGGAAGTTCATATTGATACAAACAGGGAGGCTCCCTGCTGCCCACAGATTTCCCACATAAAAGTCCTACTGGTAGCCGTGGGAACTTAGCAGCAGCCACGCTGTGGCTAAAGTCACCACTCTAAAAATGTAGTGAAATTAGTGTTCATAAAAGTGAAATACATGCCACAAGAATGAAGATGATCTGATTCACAGCCAAAATTACATGAGTTCTGGCATAAAAAAAAAAAGCAATTAAATTTTGCAGTTACTCTGCCTTTAGGAAGAGATCACTGGTAAATTTTTACAAAGTTCCTTTGAGAAAAAGAACTTGGCTTTTCTCAAATAAATTTGTTGCACCAAAACATACCCGCCTCTCCTGAGCAGTGCCCACGATGTGACACTGGTCATTCCGCCCCGTGGAAAGGGCCCATCCTGTGCTGCACAGTGGCCCCTAGTGAAACTGAGTAGTTTGTTCCAGAGTCTGTGAAAAAATTTCCAGCAGCTGAGTTGTTACCAATTTCAGTTCTGCCTTCTGATCTGACTCTCATCTCATTCAAATTATGCCATTTGCATTGTGTACTTTTAAGACAAATAAAAAAACCTCATGGGAGGATATGATGGACAAACAGACTTGTCCCAGTGTAGACTGAGCATGAACCTGGGACCCAGAGGCAAAGGTGATACTAGGAATAATGCAGCTTAGCAGTATCATTTAGCACCATTTTCAGTTTGAAGTTCCCTTTTTTGACTTTTTCTGCTATGTCTGCCATAAGGAGAGGGGACAGCTATGCTGGCTGCCACTCTTGTTACTAGAATTTGGATTTGTATGCTGCATCTCTGTTTCAATTACAAAGACTCATTCTCAAACAGGTACTCTTGTCCTTTGCAGTATTTTTTTTCTTGCGCCACAAGGACCTGAAGCATCAGATCTGTAGACAAAGCATTGAATGAGGCTCTCTCTCTCTGTCCGTTTTCCTTGATTTTCCAGGAGAGATGCTACAAAGTGACAAGCATCACTCTCCCTTAGCTCCTCACAGTGTTCCTGCCGCCACCATGCTGTCTTGCAGATCAGCAGCAGTAAAAACCACCTTTGGAAGGAGGTGACAGCTGGCTATTGTGCTCGCTGGGCAGAAACTACCTTCCCATCCCCACCCCCATGCCAGCAACAGCTTATGACAACAGCACTCTTAAAAATAAAACAGGAAATGATTTCAGTAGGGGATGTGGTGGCTGACAGAGAAAAGTGGGGTAGGTCTGAAGTGCAGTTGTTCTTTCAAGTAAGCACCGGGGCCCTGCAGAAAGGTTGCAGGGGAATGAATGTTGGTGCAGTCTTTCATGTGGCAGAGGGATCTGTGCTTGTTTTTGTTGTTGCTGCTGCCAAAACCCGTTGTGGTGGCTGTCCTCGTGACTGGGGTCCGAATGCTGCTGGTTGCGGTACAGCAGCATGTTGCTGCAGCTGCGTGGTCCCAAGGTGCTGTCAGCACACACTCACTAACTGTGTGGGCATTGTCCAGTGGTCTGGCCTGCATTTGGACTACCATAATAAGCCCTTGACTTCAACATCTTAGCTACTTCCTTGCATCAACTACAGCTGGGATAGTATTTGTGCTCTGGCCACTGAATAACTCACTTGCCCACCACATTCCAGTATGAGAGACTGTTTTGGTCTAATGCCTGAAGGAAATACCTACATAACCTGCTATTTCTTCTAAGAAGAACCTTTAGTGTTTGACTGAATTATTGAATTGGGAGGCTTCAGGTGTCCCAGCCCTACATGTTGCTGAGAGCTCCTCATCCTCCCTGTTTTCTCCTGGGGGGATCAGCTGGAAGGAAGAGGTCTGGGTGAGTGCTGATCCAGAAAGGCTGAGCAGTCAGAGCCTCTCAGGCTAAAAGATGCTTCTTGGTCTCAGAAAGCTGAGTGTTTTCTTGGAGGTAATGTCTCCATTTGTGCATTTGAAATGCACTTTTGGTCTGCTTCCACCAGCTTTGCATTTATTTCTCTCCCCATCGAAGTGTTTTTTTTTTTCCTGCAGCATTCAAATGCTTGAAATAGAGGTTCAAATCCCTCTCTGCCTTCAAACACAAACATACCATATCTGGGTCAGTAAGTCCCTGACCTCCAAATTGCTGGAGGTTGACAGAGTATATCATGGTAGTTTTATTATAGGCTTGCCCTCATCCTGTACTCTTCCCATCTGCTATTGTCAGCTTTAGGGATGGGATATTGGGCTAGAGGGGCCTTTGCTCTGACCTCTTATGGACGTTTTTATGGTCTTTTGTCTTTATCTGGGGCCTCTGGAGGCTAATAAAGATTTTGTACATATAAAGAAATCATCGTGATCCAAGAAGAAGTTGTGAGCATAGGAGGGCTCTCCCAGCCTGGTGCTCCCTGGGAGCAAAGGTCTGATAAGATAAGTGGGTGTCTGGCAAGCGTTGATAAAACAACTTCCAAAGTCTTTCAATTGCTAGATAGATGGTCCTCAGTGGGTAATGAAAATAACTCTTTCTGGACACTTCCTATCATACAGTTTAGGATTTGATAATTTCATACAATATGTAATTTATCATTTGGTTTTCTTCTAGCATTGACCCACAGGCCTCATTGGAAAAAGCAGATCTACCTCTCTCTTTTGGCTTCTTAGTTGGCTTCTTCAAGGGATACAGAGGTCATCAAAATAGATCTGTGTCTCTTTTGCCAAGCCCTGAAGGCCTGCTGAGAAGCGTGAGTACTGGTGCTTGTTGTTTACTGTTATCTAAATGGAGCAACTCCAATATCACAAAGCTGTGCATGGGTGTCAGGCTCCCTGAGACACAAAGTGTCTGTGCTGCCACTGGGTATGAGCTCTGAGATATCTTCACTGCACCAGGAAATACCAAGAGGGTTTTGAGACAGCAGAAAAGCATCTGCTGAGGCTCCTCTGTGAGCTCTGTTTTCTCTTTTGCCTGCCTCTCCTCTCTGTTGGGTCAGAGGGAGCAAGTGGGATAGAAATCCTTTGTGTAACTCCATTTTCCTTTCCCCTTTTCAGTTTGCTTTTAAAAGACATTTCTAGGTAAGGTAGAGCAGCCTCATGGCTGAGAAAAGATCTCAGCCAGACAACGAGGAAGTCTTGCACAGCTGGCCCCAAGACCTAACCTGTGCCTGCCTCTCTTTGGGGGTAGCAGAACTGCTTTGCCACATGAAGACAGAGGAAAGAAGGATGATTATTTTGGTGTGAAAAAAGCCAATAATCATCAGACAAGGATTTTAAAAAATCCCGTCCGTTTTCCCATCTTTCCTCGCTCTTCTAAGCCTAGAAGAATCCCCTTCAGTATGTCATTAAGCCTGTAAGAAGTCCTATTCTCTTTTTAGTTAGATGTTGCAGAAGGGTTTAGAGCTATGGTTTCCCAGTCCTGCACTGAAGCTGCTTAACCTTCGCTTGCATTGTTGTGATCCCCATGTCCTGAGCTGCAGCTTCAGTATTGACAGTTGTAAAGAAGATCCTATTTTTAAAATCAGACCCCCATTCGTGTTTTGTGCACTCCCAAAATAGACCTGAAAACTCAGATCTCTGTGTGCCCAACCCTGCTACCCCGTTCCCTAAAGGGCCACAGCCCTGCCTCTGCAGCCAGAGTACATCAACAGCATGGAAAATTCAGTAGAGCTCACCAGTTACCCGGGGAAGGAAAAAGGTTTCACTTGCATGGTGGGTGCTTTCCTGCATATTGTGTTCCTTTAAAAAACCCCAGCACTTTAATCAGAATGAGCAAAGTGTATGGTCCTGCTTAAAGGCTTTTTAAGTGACACAACTTAAGAAGAGTCAACAGTTTGTTTTACGTTATTCAAGTGTCAATGCAATATACAGCCTGAAAAAAACAATTCACAGTGAAAAATGCTCCCTTGCTCATAGGATCAGTTGCAAATGCTGGTGGGGATTCTGCTATGAAACCAGAAAACACCCCAGAAGCCAACCTGTGAGAGTGTCAGACTCTTGTAGAAAGTTAAGGTATCTAAATATAAGTACGCACTTTCAAAACTGCTATGGCTGACTGTTCATGCATCTCACTTGCTTAATCTGTGGGGATCCTTTTTTACTCATTCAGGGAGGGAGGCAAAGATCACTGAAGCCAATAGAAAGATGCAGAGTGATTTCAGGAGGTTTTAGGTGAGGTCATGCAGTTTGCTCCCTCTGACTGCCAGTATCCTTGGGTCTTGCTATTATCCAAGCCTTTGGTGGCCTCTACAGCTGCTATAGCAGTTTCTGCATTGCAGTGAGATTATGCAGTTCTCATGGTTCATGTTTTTGTGATGCCTGCCCTAGCCCCAGCCCCTTCACACCACAAACCAGGGACTTCTACAAATGCGGCTGAGAGAATCTCTCCACTGATGGCAGTCCAAGTAGACCTGGAAATGAAGACTTTTGAACTTTTTTTGGTAATGAAGACTTTTGAACTTTTTTTGGTAACAAAAACTAAAGGCTACTATTCTCACATGACATAAGGTAAGAAGGTTTATGTAGGGATCAAGAGCATCCTTTACAGAGGCTGAAGTCACGAACATGCACGTGACTTTAGTGCAACCAGGGTCCACACACAGGATTTGCTGAAAGGCAGATGTTTGCAGGCTCACCAAAATGGAAGGATTTGTCTGTACTTCATGGCTGGGGAATAAAAAGCACAAAACTCCAAAGATGCAGTTTACTGCCTGGTATTTTTTAACACAAATGTGTTCACAAAATAGTTGGTGTCAGCAGTCGTTTTTTGCAAAGATGGCTATGGCAGCCAATTGAATTACCCAGAGGCGAACCCTGCACCCAGGCATGACTGCGGCTGGTGGATGCAGCCACGTCCCACAAAACCTCGCCAGGGATGATGGGTGTGAGCAACAGCACTGCTTTCACAGGGTGCTCTGAAATTCAGCTCTAGCTGAGCAAACCTGGACGCTCTCTGGGAAGGCCGGGTGCTGGCTTGGCGTGGTGGCAGGGACAGCTGTTGAGCATGCAGACAGCCACCCACCCACAATGTCTGCAATGCACACAGCTGCTGCCTGGCTGCGTTACAAAGGTGCCTTGCAGCAGCACATGTGCCGGCTGCGATACTGGTGGCTGTGAGCCGTGCTCGGGCTATATTTTACAAGTTCATTTTCTATGGCACTGCAAGCACAGGCACGCTTTTATGGCATCTAGAGCATTTTGCTGAATGATTTGGTAGTATGCTACTGACCAGACAGCACATTTCCAGATTTAGATTATAAGAGGAAAACAGCAAGTGGTAGGTTCAAGTGCAGGTCAGTGGATATGTTATACCAGAGCTCCTCCGCTGAGCGCAGGAATACTCGTGCTCCCCTATGACCAATACTGTGAACTGCTCAGTAGAGATGGCCTAAGGTGTTTGCTTTTATGATTTCAGTACCATTCACACTGGGGAAACACTGTTATCACGTTGTAAACATAGTTTTTATTATTGCAGAATATTTTTGGTTGATATTTGGGCTTCAAACATAATCATATGATGTTAATTTCCTCCTGCTTTCTAGATATATTAAGCAGCATTTTAGCAGGAGATTTTCAGGAGGAAAAAGAGGATACAGTTTGGAGGAGAAAGCAAAGACAAGGTGTAACCCAGACCATGAAAACCACGATTGGTGCTGATGGCCACACTATGGATACACATGGAAAAACAAGTACTGAAGCACAATGTCATTGGCATTCAGCATGAATAAGCAGCATTTAAATATCTCACCTGTGATAAAACCTGAGTTTACAGACAATGTAAACCAACTTACTGACCTGAATTATGTTCACCACCAGAAATGTTTTTGGGAGAGTATATCCTGATGCCTTTGTTTAGATAAACTTTATGTCACATTTTAAGTTCAATATTTCCTTTAAAGACAGGCCAGATCTGCATGAACACCCTCTCCCTGATCTCCCAGTGTAAATGGCAATTGCCGAAAACATGGCAGGTGTGATATCACCTGAGAAAGCTGTGTACTCTTTCATTGCCACAGAGAGAAAAGCACTCTTTCTCACTCTCAGTAAGCTGAACTGCTTGTGAAAGCGCAGCCTGGGCCCCTTCCCTGTGTTTGCTGAGTAAGATCTGGCCCATGTAGGAGTTAGCAATGAATAACCTGCCCCGAGTTATAGTTCAGGTTGCTCATGGCTCTCCCACATCTTTTAACATAACAGTATTTTTAATATCAGTGTGCATCATGTTCCTGGTTGTTGCAAATCATAGTTTTTGGGAACATGGTCTCTGTCCCTGGGCAGAAAGGAGACATGAGAGTTGGGGGGCAAGGGATGGGGAGCATGCCTATACCGGAAGGGGAATCACCTGCCCGCAGCACAATGTGCTAATTTGCTTATTAATTTAAGTGTTTATTACTGTGACAGGGAGACTTGGATTGGTTGGAAAGCTGGGGTATTGGCAGCTTTATGGCTTGAGGTTCCAACACGTCCTTTGGGAAGGCTGGCTTCAGTGGGGCAGCTAAAAACACAGTAAAACACACATACGTAGTAGCACTTTTAGGCTGATAAGGCTTATTTTTCAGGATAGTGTCTTTTTCCCAAACAACAGGCTGCTTAAATCCCAATTTTCTGCCTCAGCTCTTAGTCAGACAAATCTCCTGTGGACCTACTCCTCTCTGTACCAGAATGGATAAAAACCCTCAGGTCTTGATCCTCAGAGTGTACAAAACAATGCTGACATTAGGGTTCACAGAGCTACACCCCTTTCATTTAACCTAGTTTCGGTATGACACAGACTCATCTGATTGTGTGACAATGCGGTGCAAGTAGGGCAGATGCTGTTCATTGAGAAGACATCTGTGTCGTGCTTGTGCTTGCAGCATGTCCCACTGAACAGGACCTCTCCTCTAACCTTTACTCTGGGGATGGGACTGTACTGAGGTGGGGGAGAAGGAGAAAAGGAAATGTTTAGAACTGCCTCTCTGAAATAAATGGAGGGCTTTTTTTGCTTCTGCCTCTGAATCTGGCCTTTTTGCACAGGCAAAGTTTGTCAGATGCTGCAATGGGCTCCAGTCTGAAGAGGACAGTGGGCACTCCATGTGCCTGCATGCTCTCTGCTGGCTGCCCTGTCTGGAAATCTGCATTTTTGCCCAGCCCCGGGACAGGGTCTGGCCTCACAGAGGGGCCACAGGCCCACTCTGTGTGGGAGAGCAGTGCTTTACATTGGGATCTTGGGTGCTGTTGGCAGATGTGGAGACAACCTCAGTATGTGTAACCAGACAACTCACTATTGACAGCATAGCCTGGATTCCTGAGCAGTGCTAATTATTCAAAGCAAAGCTGGCAAAAATTCACACTCCCAAACCTTTCCTGGGAAATGCCCTTTCCCTTTTCCCTTCCACATAGTAATCCTCTGGCAGATCTGGACAGGCTTCATGCCTGAACTTGCCCTTGGTGGGGCGCTCCCAGCTGCAGCGTGCCATGGACATGGCAATCTGTTGGCACATGTGGGCTGCAGCCATAGGGCACGTACGTGGTTGTGTGCCTATGTCTGTTAATGAAGAACTAAATAAATCCTAAAAAGGTGAGAACAGAGGGTAAGAACCAAGCCAATGGTAGGTTGCTCAGCCATTTTTCTTGCTGTAATTGCTTGGGTTTTAGACAAAACAGATAGCTGTTTATCTTGTGTTACCTTAGTGTGCCCTACAGTTAGTAAAGGGTGATAATGTAGTATTTATGCACTGGGGTGCATAAACGGGCTGTACAGCTTTGCAGAGGGCCACTCAAAGGACAGAAGGCAAAGGGCTGGCACTGCTTTGAGCAGGTGTCACAGTTACTGCAGATGCAGCTGCGACTGAAAGCAGCCTTGTTTTGAATATGAAAACTTCAAGCTGGGAGGCACAAGGGCTGGCTAAAAGGAGGAAGGAAGAGGAGGAAGGCCTGTGCTAGGCGTGCTCAAAGCAGTGGAGCCAAGTTAACATCTCGTTGTCTGAGCATGGCTTGGTTATGCCAACCAGCCAAACAGCCTCCCTGTCACCTTCCTGCTCCAGTGCTTCAGATGATGCCTAAAAAACACTGTTATTCCTGCAAAAGATTAGAAGAATCACACTTACAGGTGAGACCAAGGAAAAGTAACATGAAAAAGCTTCCCACTATAAATGAAGGCATTTTAGCAAATGCCTCCTCTCCAAAACTAACAGGCATAGGGAGAGCTAGTTGTCCATATTTTGGCATACTCTGGGCTTTCTGTGCCCCCTGTTTGCTGCTCATGAATCAGTGACTCATGAATTTTATTCTGTTGTTTGTTGAGAACATGCTGTTTCATAAGGTCCCATAGCTTGTCATGAGGAAACTCTTTCTCTGTAAAAACACTTGATAAATTGAGTATTTGATAATTTTAAATTAAGTGTTGAATTATTAAATAAGGATTGAATCCAAGACCGACGGAATTCCCAAGTCTTTGCAGATCTGATGATAATGGGCTTCTTTCAATTAAGACTTTGTTTTCTTATGTTTTTGTAAATTATTCTATATCTCCATATTATTACAGAACTTGCAGATTTCCTCACATTATGCAGGACTTACAGAAGTAGATTTGTTGTCTTAGAGGGTGATATGCCTGAAAGTGGCAAAATCTTTCCAAAAATATATTTCAATGATAATTATTATTGCTGTTATATATGTGCAAGTAAATTAAATAATGTATTTTAGTCTCATTAATTAAATACTAGAAATATTTCAATTTTACTTAAATAGTCTATTACATTAATACATAATAAACATATGCAATAAATAGTACATCTGTTGTTTACTGTTGCTCCTTATTACTATGAGTTTTATGTCTGGTTTTGTAATTAGTACAAGGTCTATTTTCGGTGAAAATTCTTCAAATGTCAAAACATGCCTAAAATGCAGTAAACTGCAAGTAAAACAACCATATTTGAAAGAACGCAAAAAGCGCTTTGGGAAATTGTTATCTTTGCAGTGGTATCTTTGCTCTATATATTTACACAAATACACAGAAAGATATTATATATTAATTACACAGGAAAATCTTACTCATCTCTGTAGAAAAACAGGATAGAGATTTCACATGTGGCTCAGCTCTAGGACGATGTGATATTAGTGTCTGAGGTGTTTTCAAGATGCGTTTTATCTAACACTGGGAAAGGGTATGGTTTGGCTGACTAAACTCTGGAGTGATGCTGAATGATAAAAGTGCTAAGGGGAATTTTTGGGGTGTCTAAAAGACAACATATAAGACTTCGTAGGTGTAAAAAAACACCAAAGAGACTTTTTCTGGTGGTTGTATAAAAAGCTTACCGACATTTTGTGACACAGACTAATCTCCTGCCATACCTTTAACATCCTATTGCAAAACGTAGGTGCCTTAAAACTGAACGGAATCTCGCTCCCATAGAGGTGTTATTTCG